AATCAGCCTTCCTTCCTTCCTTCCTTCCTTCCTTCCTTCCTTCCTTCCTTCCTTCCTTCTCTTCTTTCCTTCCTTTTCTTCCTCCCTCCCTTGCATCTTTCCTTCCTTCCTCTTGGCAAATTAACAGAGCAACATTTCATTCATACTCACTCTTTCATTCAAAACCTTTTAAGTGCTCACTATAGAGAACATAAAAATTTAAAAAAGACTTCCCTTTTTTGTATGTCAGTGTCTGTTAGATAAAAGAATCGTGTATAGTCTAATGAACTTCTGCATATGAAGAATTACTGAGAAGATTAATATGTACAATTCTAGAAACTCTTGCAAAGCTGGTTCTTTGAAGTTATTGCCTCTCAATTATTTGGAAGGACACAGTTGAATAAGTTAAGAGCATGAACTTTAGGTTTATGTTTGAGTTTAAATCTTGGGTTTAAATCTTGAGTCTTTAAGTTCTCTGTACTGTGTTACTGTTGGGAAAGTTAATTAACCTTTCTAGGCCTCAAATTTTTTTTTCTTTTCTTTTTTTTTTCTTGAGTTCGGGTCTCACTTTGCTACCCAGGCTGGAGTGCAGTGGCACGCTCATGACTACCACAAAATCTACGTGCTGGGCTCAGGCAACCCTTCCGCCCAGCCTTCCAGGTAGCTGGAGCTATAGGCACACGCCACCATGCCTGGCTAATTTTTTGATTTATTGTTGAGACACGGTCTCACCAAGTTGCCCAGGCTGTTCTCGAATCCCTGGGTTCAGGCAATCTTCTTGCCTCCACCTCCCAAGTCCTGGCATTGCAGGTGTGAGCCATTGCACCCAGCTGGCCTCAGATTTTCTCCTGTGTAAAATGGGGGTACTGACACCTTCTACCTCATAGATTTGTTGATTAAATAGCTTAAATGAATTAAGAGACATAAACACTAAAAGTGTGTTAGCCATTTTGAAAAATCATCTTAACCATAATATTTGAATATCTACTTGTTTTTAAATTGGAAGATTTAGAGAGAACATATAATTTAAACTTCATCACTAAATGAATTCAAAGTCTATAGTTAAGTGATAACGCAGATGGAAATACTTAAATTGCTTAACCTCAAGATAAATCTAGTGGGAAAATTAACCACCCCCAAACAATTGACTATCTATTAGAATTTTTTAGAGCCAACTTGTGATCCTCATATGACACATGAACTTTTCTTCAATTTGGAGAACTTTAAATATTACTCAAAGTATAACCACTGCTTCAGGGTCACCAAGGTATGCTTTATTAAAATATACAATTCAGGGCCCTCTTTGCACCAACTAAGCTAGCATCACAGGGGCAGAGAGCCCAGAAGTCCACATTTTTAACACGCTTCCTTGATGATTCTTATGTACACTGGAAATTGAGAACAGTTGTTGTAGACAGGTGGCTCTCAATTTAAATGCTCATTAGAATCACTTAGGGAGTATTTGAAAGATACAGATACTTGGATCCCAGGGGCAGGGATCCCAGGGGCAGTGATCCCGATTTAATTGTTTAGAGGTGGGGCACTGAGTATTTGCATTAGCAGGTGATTATAATGTGCAGCCAGGGCTGCGAAGCAGTGACATAAGAACACAATTAATGAAGGTGATTGCTGATATAGTTTATTATGTCAGGGATATAAGCTGACCTGATATTTTTAAAAAGTCATTAAAGTTCTGGAAATGGGTAATGGTGATGGTTGTACAGATTTGTGAATACATTTAATGACACTGAACCGTACCCTTAAAATAGTTAAAATTGTAAGTTTTATGTTCTATATATTTAGAACAATAAAAAAGGATTTAAGTCCAGGTGTGGTGGCTCTTGCCTGTAATCCCAGCACTTTGGGAGGCCAAGGTGAGAGGATTGCTTGAGCCCCCGAGTTCAAGATCAGTCTGGACAACATATTGAGACCTTGTCTCTACAAAAATAATTTAAAAATTAGCTGGGTGTTATGGCGTGTCCCAGCTACTTGGGAGGCTGAAGTGGAAGGACTGCCTGAGCCCAGGAGGTTGAGGCTGTGGCAAGCCATAATCGTGCCGCTGCACTCCAGCCTGGGTGGTAGAGTGAGACCTTGACTCAAAAAAAGGGAAAAGGCTGGGCTTGGTGGCTCAGCCTGTAATCCCAGCACTTAGGGAGGCCTAGGCGAGTGGATTGCCTGAGCCTGCAGGTTCGAGAACAGCCTGGGTAACTTGGCGAGACCTTGTCTCTACAATAAATAAAAAATTAACTGGATGCGGTAGCGCACACCTGTAGTTCCAGCTACTTGGAAGGCTGAGGTGGAAGGATCGCTGGAGCCCAGCAGGTTGATGCTGGGGTGGTGGTGAATGTGCCACTGCACTCCATCCTGGGCAATGGAGTGAGTCTCCAACTCAAAAAAAAAAAAAAGGGAAAGTACTTTTTAAAAAGCCATTTCTAATTCACACATTCTGAGCCTTTATTCTTTTTCTTTTTACAGTGACAGTGTATCATGTATGCCACAGATTCCAGGGGACACTCCCCTGCTTTCCTCCAGCCTCAGAATGGAAACAGCCATCACTCGTCTGGTTATGTCCCAGGGAAGGTTGTCCCAATGCGTCCCCCTCCTCCTCCAAAGAGCCAAGCTTCAGCCAAATTTACCTCCATCAGACAAGAAGCCCGGGCAACCTTTGCATTCTCACCCGAAGAACAACAAGTCCAGAGGGAAAGCCACAAGCAGAAGAGACACAAAAATACCTTCATTTGCTTTGCTATTACTAGTTTCTCATTTTTTCTTGCACTTGCAGTCATTTTAGGAATATCCTCAAAATATGCTCCAGATGGTAAGTGTGTGCTATGCACATAGAACATAGTCTAGGAAAAGAAAGAAGGGGAGGAAGTAGTAGAATATATACGAGGGGAGACTAAAAAAAATTGTAACTTTTAGAGATAAGTTCTCGCTCTGTTGTCCAGGCTGGAGTGCAGTGGCCTAGTCAGAGCTCACTGCTCACTGCAAACTTGAACTCCTGGGTGATCCTCCCCATCTTAGCCTCCCAAACAACTATAGGTGTGTGCCCCCATGCCCAGCTATTTTTACTTTTGGCAGTCCAAAAATCATACCTGCCACAAGAATTCATTAAAGATTCTTTTTTTTTTTGAGTTGGAGTCTCACTCCTTAACCCAGGCTGGAGTGCAGTGGCATGCTCACAGCCACCCCAGCATCAACCTTCTGGACTCCAGCCGGGCGTGGTAGTGCGCATCTGTAGTTCTGGCTACTTGGAAGGCTGAGGCGGAAGGATCGCTGGAGTCCATACCCCACCCTCCTTATTCGCCCTTCCCTGGATGAAAAAGTCCTCCAAGGGCTTATTACTGAAAAGCCTGCAAAGTTATATTGGTCATTTTCTGTCTTCTGCATGCAGCCAACTGATTCTCTAGTTTGTTAAATCAGTCGCAGAGAATACAACTGATTCTCTTGTTTGTTAAATGTAGCCTAAAGATGTCCTGGGAAGGATGTGAACCTCATAAATGAGAACTGCAAACTGGGCCTCTGCCTCAGTTCAGTTCCACAGGATTCCTGGTCTTGCCTACTCTGTACCGATGGAAAAGATGCATCAACACAGTCTCTATCCCAAGGCCCACTCTTGGAATTGTTACTTACTTATGTTTTCAAACTTCCTCCCCACAAAAAAATTGGTAAATAAACAAATTCCATCTATCTGTCTAAAAATCAGAGGCTCAGGACTGTGGCAGAGAGAAGCAGACCATTACAGTCTGGGCTGGGCACCATATTTGTCTGCATTTCTTACCGTCTACAACAGACTTTTGCCAAATAGATATCTCCTTAAATAGATATAATAGTTAAGAAGCATGTTACCATTTATAAGATGTACAAACTTTTTTTTTTTGTTTCCACAAGTGCTTTAAGGAGTTTATAGATTTTAAGGTCCTGGGGTAGGTAGTGTCAATACTTCTAAGAGAATAAACCTGAAATAAGAGAGACATTAATGTCCACATCTTTATTGACCAAGCCAGTAGACTACATTATGAACTCGTTAATGTTGATTTCCATTGCATGCAGGATTGACTTCCTCTCTCCTTTTCCCAACAGAATAACCAAGTTTATTTATACTTCCCAACTAATCTGCAGTAAAGGAATGCTAGACTAGTGGGAAATCAGAGCTGAAATCTGTGGCTTTCATGGTGTTTTCATATTCCATTTAAGACACTGAACTGCTGATGTGTGGTTCCCTGAATCAACATCCTTTAGTTTCACATTTGGCAATATAAGTGCAGATCATCAGTAGAAAGATCTGCTATGCTGAAATATTTCAGGGTCAGCCTGACTGTGGTTATATTGCTGTTACATAACTGATATTACACTCACTGCTCTACAAATGGGTAGCTGGGAAGGTGGGGCTGACTGAGCTATTTTTCGGTGCTTCGTGCAGACTCTTAAGTGTGTTTTACTGGAAGGAATTAGACTGGAATTTTTGGTGATGGTTCTAATGAAGCATGCTCTTCTGGGGAATAATTAGAAACAATTAAGAGGAATTATATAACCACTGAAGTAGACTCCAGATCTCAAAAGACTGGATTTCCTTCTTTGCAAGAGGGTACAGTGCTTGTTACACCTCTATGGAGAATTCCAGCTAGACGTTTTATGCAAAGAGGAAGGTAGGTACAAGAAAAGTTTAAGAAATCATCCTCTACTTGGAAGGCTGAGGCGGAAGGATTGCCAGAGCCCAGCAGGTCGAGGCTGCGGTGGCCGGGAGCGGCCACTGCACTCCAGTCTGGGCGACAGAGTGAGACTCCAACTCAAAAAAAAAGAAATCATCCTCAGTATTAAGTCGGAACAAATTTAAGAGATTCATTGTTTCTTTGATGGATTTAAAAGATTGTTTTTAGCATAATAGTGATGATTATTGATTTATCAGAAGAATTAAATATCAACAATTATAAAACTTCTGTGAGAAAGTTTATGAAATAATTTCCAAGTACGTAACTAGCAAGACGAATTTTAACTGTAGTTACTATCACCTCAAAGAGAAAGTATAAGCCTGGGGCTACGTAAGAGCTCAGAAACAGGAATATGTTTGTATTAGTGTTATTCAAGTTCAAAATGAGGAATCAAAATTTTTTCTGTATAAAATATCTTTGTGCTTCACTGTGTCTCTCTGGTTTTCCTCATATTATTTCTCAACATGTACCTTCCACCTTAACAAAAGGGATTTCTTTGTGTGGTTCCCAAGCATATCTTGCTTATTCCTACCTTTGCTTAGTTTATTTAATTAGAGTTAGGGTCTTGCTCTGTCACCCAGGCTGGAGTGCAAAAGCATAATCATGGCTCACTGTAGCCTTGGCCTTCTGGGCTCAGACTATCCTCCTGCCTCAGATCATCAGTGTAGTCCCAAGCAGCTGGGACTTCAGATGCATGCCACAATACCCAGCTAATTTTTAAACTTTTTTTTGTAGAGATGAGATCTTGCTGTGTTGCCTAGGCTGGTCTCAAACTCCTAGGCTCAAGTAGTCCTCCCACCTTGGCCTCCCAAAGTGCTGGGATTGCAGGCATGAGCCACCATGCCTGGCCTAGCTTAGTTTAAATACGATGACAGACACCTTGCTATTTTTAACTTAGCAACTGAATGGACTTGGTTAGCAAGGGATAGTTGCATTACTATTATTCTTTTTATTTTTATTTATTTTTTTCCCACTATCTGGCAAACAGTCAACTCAGCAGAACCATAGAGGAACTGGATTCTTTTTAAACATTTTTTTTTTCCAAGACAGAGTCTCACTCTGTCGCCCAGTCTGGAGTGCAGTAACATGCTCACTGCCACTGCAGCTTCAACCTGCTGGGCTCAGGTGATCCTTCCGCCTCAACCTTCCAAGTAGCGGTAACTATAGGCATGCACTACGATGCCAAGCTAATTTTTTTTATTTATTGTAGAGATGAGGTCTCGCCAAGTTGCCCAGGCTGGTCTCGTACCCATAGGCTCAGGCAGTCCTCTCACCTCGGCCTCCCAAAGTGCTGGGATTATAGGCATGAACCAGCATGCCCTGCCTAAAGATTTTTAAAATGAAGCTGGGCTCGGTGACTCAGCCTGTAATCCCACGCCTTTGGGAGGCTGAGGTGAGTGAATTGTCTGAGCCCGCGTGTTCGAGACCCGCCTGGGCAACTTGGCGAGACCTTATCTCTACAATAAATCAAAAATTAGCCGGGTGTGGTAGCGCACGCCTGTAGTT